AGTTGGAGCAGAGTAGGAGCAGAGTTGGAGCAGAGTAGGAGCAGAGTTGGAGCAGAGTAGGAGCAGAGTAGGAGCAGAGTTGGAGCAGAGTTGGAGCAGAGTTGGAGCAGAGTAGGAGTAGAGTAGGAGCAGAGTAGGAGCAGAGTTGGAGCAGATGGAGCGAGAGTGTTGAGAGCTTTGTAGGTTAGAAGTTGACAGGTAGATGGAGAGAAGCTAAAACTGGAGAGATATGGGGGTCGAGATGGGGTAGAGGCAGGGCCAGGACCCGAAAGGCCCAGCCTCGATCACCAGCCATTCCCACATGTCGTGGTGTCTCTGAGCAAGACACCCAATCCCCAATTGCTCCCCCGGTGCCCACATAGCTGCCCACTGCCCCACCTGGGTTCATCCCAATTGTGATGGGTTAAATGCAAAAACCAATTTCACTATTGTATGGGAACATACAATGATGACAACACACAGCACTCAGTATTATTATTATTATTATTATTATTATTATTATACGATCTCTTCGAATAACTCCTATAAAGACTCTGGCAGCAGCATTTTGGCTCAACTGGAGACTTTTTAAAGAAATATTTGGACACCCAGATAATAAACGATTGCAATAGTTTTTATGTATGACTACTTCTTTGGGACCTACAGGTTTTCTTGCTCAAATCTACGCTTCAAGTTTCTATGAATTATCAGTTGCTATGGATCAAAAAAGAAAGTTGTCACTAAAACTAATTAAACTTTCAATTTTCTGTAAAAGCCCTTATCATTAAATTTTATAATTATTACAACAGCATCACATCTGCAGACCTCATGATGATATCGCTATCACGAAGACTTCCAGCAGCTGTAACAAAACTCTGCGTTGCACATGGATTTATAATAACACATTAGGGCTGCACCGATTGCAGTTTTCTGGCCGATCGCCGATCATGACCTGCCGATTACGGTTTTGTTTTATAAGCGACACTGTCAGGAGTTATACGGTCACAATGCAACTTCAATTTTCCAACATTATACCCTTGAACAATGTCCTAGAAACAATACAAACTTGTTTTAACTGGCCATGAGGTAGGGCTCTGAAATATAAATGAAGTTCAGATAATTTTTGTTAAAACAAACAAAAAAAAATCGGTAGAATTCGTTTGTCGTGCAAGTATTGTCCGATTTCCTAAAATTAAGGAAATCAGGGCCACTATAACACATATGAATTTGAGTTTTCTGACTTTTATGACAACTACGTTAGCAAAGTTTGGAGCAAAAACATATTACATTTACTCATTTAAGACAAATTTATAAGTATGCATTTGGAATGATCAGCATTTTGTTGCATTTAGGGTTGAACATGAATAAAATCAGCATAACAACATTTTGGACGTTTGTTTATTAAAGAGACTCGATTCAATATAGCATACAAACACAAAATTTTGGATTTAATTATCATAGGTTCGGTTTCATCTTAACTATACAACTACATTTTCCGTAAACAGTTTATTGGCTCAGGACTTTAAAAGTAAAAATAAACAAGTTCCAGATTGTTGATTTTTCTGTCATTTGACTCTGTCATGTCATTGAACTGTCAGATTTATGGATCATACCAGTATGTAATTGGTGACTAGCTTTAATCTTTATTTATATCCGGTGAATGACGGGATGGGATCATGTGCTGCAGCGACACAGTGGATCAGTGGATATCATGTTTACAATCAACCTGGAGTGTCTGTTTGATTCAAACAAAGAATCCCTGTTGGTTTCGTCACAAAACGTTCAGCTACAATCTGTTCAGACAAACTGTTAACAAATTTCATTTAAAAAAATTAAAAAAAAACAAACAGCTAAAGATAATGTTTAAAAAAAAAAACAAAGCTTTACAGCTTCTTGTTGTTGAAGACGACACATAACTTACAAAACAAGAACGGCAATACGTTACATGAATCACTGAGCGTCTCTAAATTCTTACCTTTTTCACAAGGTTGTCTCTGATGCGGTCACCGGAGTCTAAATAACAAACAAACAAACAAACAAACAAAATGTGTGACGCACGTTCAAGCTAACGTGAAACAAACGCAGCAGGTCAGTCCAAGTGTCAGCTGGGCGACGGTTCTGTCCGTCCTGCTGCTGCTCAACGCTTTCAGCTGCTGTGACAGACCAGAGCGTATTTTAACCGCTGATTACAAGCTGCCACACACACTAACCCCCCACCTCCACCCACACACACACATATCTACGTATAGCCTAATCAGCTGTGCATGTATAGCCAGTAACATATGCTCATGAAATCCATCCTCATCCAAAAATCTATTTTTATTTATTTTGGACTCAGTGTCATTGTAGCTACGTTACCTTTACACTTGAATTAGCACCCTGTTCACACTCACGGGCCTTTAACACAGATGTATACGGTTGCATTCCAAACCTCGTTATGATTAGTGTCATACGTGAGGGCCAAAATAAATAAATGAGATCATCACTATTTAAAACAACATCAAAGAGACATGATCATCTGCTGTGGTTGACTTGTCCCACCAGCCTGATCAGAAGCTGCATTGATGGTTGAAAAATGCCCGATTGTTTCACGCTTGTGCACACTGAGCACTTGAGGACTCGATGACAATTTTACATTTCAAGTGGTTTCCAAACAAATTATCACAACAAACGAGCTTGAACAGAAAATCTCATTTTACTGTTGTTGGGTTTAAATAAAAGAAGTTCTCGTCCAGGTTGTACGCCACATCTTGCCCAGTGGCTGGTGAAAATAGGCAAAAGGTCAAACCTTAGGTCAACATCCCATGCAAATGTGGCTAAAGGAAACGGATGGATGCAGGAGACCAGGAAGGCCTCAGAGTCCAGGTCTGGCTGATGGGAGATTCATCTGGAGCACTTCTAATGATGGACGATTTGATGTTTGATTGAAAGCTCTTTAATTCCTTAAAGAAAGCTTGGAGTTAGTTGTACTGCTCCAGAGTACTATACCATAAAATAATAAGAAGGAAAACAAAGACATTTTCATGTTTTTAAGATGAGCACCTGCGAGTCTTCACATCCAAAAGATGATCTTAAATGAAATGCAGTGGGCGATATGCATTCCTTCCAAAAATTCTGGGTCTTCATTCATTCTCTTTTATTCCTCCTTTGTCTTTGTGCCATTTTTTGAACTAGTCGTGGCCAGCTGTTTGTTTTTTGTTCCCAGTCGTGGAACAAAAAGGAGCATTAGGTATACTGTATATGTACAGTACTGTACATCCACAAAACGCGGTAGAGAGAGTCCACAAAAGTCGAACCGCCAAGTATCGAGGGTCTACTGTACCCTCCATTCATCCATTCATCCATCTGTTGTGAGCACAATTACTTGAAACTTACAGTTTGGCATGTGGCTGCATCCGGACTTAAGACATGTTCCTTTTGTAAATTGGGTTTCCACATCAAAATCCAAGATGGCCACCACCACCATATATGTGTATGTAAACTTTGTATTCTAGTTAACTTGAAATACAAGCAATGTGCCAACTTCTTTTTTTGGTTTGTGGCTACATCTTAGCAATAGAAAGTTTCCCTTCAAAAATCGGGTTGCCACGTCAAAATCCAAGATGGCCCCCACCACTATTTATATGTATGTAAACCGGCCATCCTCGTTTGAGTAAATTATGCTTTATAGTTTTATATTACCTAAAAATACAGTTTTCTCGGATCATTGGGTGGCTGGTGAGGTGGCCCAAGATTAATCTAAGGTGGCCCAGACCACCATTGGCCACTCCCTGACTCCACCCTTGCATGTGCTGGTGGATGCTCACCTCAAAAACTACAAACGTTCACTGTTGAAATCCTTCAGGTACCATGGACTTCGGAGTACTGCTAGTACCCCGATGTCCAGCTAACGTGACAAAATCTAGAATCTTAACAGATTTATCTTTTACTTTAATTATAGTAAATGGTGAACTGTAAGCATGGTCAGTATCTTCACTGATGCTGTTAATCTTGAGCCTTGTTGTCACCATCATGCATATTGACCAGTTTTCTTTTCTCTCCGTTTGACCATCAAGTCTTCACTTTCCTATAGATTTGATTATGAACAGCAGCACCGTTCCCGTTTCAGCGTGAAACATTATGCGACTTCCCACCGTTTGAAAAGTGTTCGGCACGAACCTGATATCAAACGTTAATTTGAGTTTCCAATAACTTGGTCTGCACCAGCGCACGGGGAGTCTTACCATCGTGGCTCTGATCCAGGTGCCATGAATGCACTCAAGTTACGGCACTCGCACAGAACAAATCCTTTAGGATGTCGAGTACATCCCAGGAAGGCCCAATAGTAGTTTAATGGGATAATGCTGTTGCACCTGTGTTCGAGTGTTTATTGAGCTTTGTTTAATTGACCTCACTCAACACTGTGACCTCACTGCAGGAGTTATTTTAGGGGGAACCAAGCGTCCAAGCTAAACAAATGACCCACTGAAACCGATACTTTGGTATTGACCTTCTGTGGTGGTTTAATGAGGTGCAAGTCACTAGGGTGCAGAGCTCCGAACTTTACTTCAAACGAGAAAGGTCATCATGTTAGGAAAACATGTTAACAAATATGTCAACCATCCTAAAAGCGTTGGTATGGATCATGTTGTAGGCATGAGCAACACAGCAAGTTTAATGCAGCGTTTTGTTGCGTTTCTACTTTATTTTTCTTCTCTGGATTCCAAAAACTTCTGATAAGTTTCCCAGCAGTCAGCTACCATCACGGGACCCAACCCAGTCCACAGATTGCCATCAGTGATTGCAGTTATGTAGTGGAGTGTGTTTGGAAATCTGTGTCCTCATGTTTCACTGTCACCACGGACATGGGGTAATGTCATATTTGAGATCCTTTACATCCAAGATGAAGCTGAGTAGTCTTCAAGGCGCCAGACATGCAGTCCGCCACCCAGCTTCTTATCTCATGATGATCCCACTTCTATGTTTTCTGTCCCAAAGGAACAAAAATACAGAGAACTGACCGTCCTGCTGAGTTCAGGTTGAGCTCTGGCAAACATCAGAGATGAAGTGTTTCAGCTAACAGGCAATGGATACCAGTGAGCGTATAACCCTTTTTCCCCACAATTCATAGAAAACAAGCAAATACAATCTGACTTTGAAACAAATGAAAAGCTTTAAATTACTTTGCAGTTGGTGCACAGGTCACTGGTTGAAAGTGTTGTTTCATTTAATATTGTCTCATGGTATGGGAACCTCCTAGCCAGAGACAGGAACAAGTTGTCCCGGGTGGTCATACAAGGTAATAAAATCATTGGTCATCAACAAATGACACTTATAGACCCGTACAGTCTGGTTCTGGAAATAAAACAGGCAATACATGTTCCTTTAAAGAAAAATGGGTTCAGAAAGTCATTTGTTCCCTCTGCGGTGAACTGAACAAGGTCCGATTTAAACGCAGCCTCGCACAACAAACCATTGTTTTGCTGGGATGTTTCCATATTTTAACGTATCGTGTGATTTAGAATGGTTTTAATTAAATGCTTTTAATTGAGTTAGCAAAAATTTTTAAGTTTTTTAATGACATTTTTAATTTGTGTTGCTTTTATGAGCCAGATATCAAAGACAAATCTCATTTCATTGAATGTTATGGACAATAATGTAGGACTGATTGATTGATTGATTAATTGACTGGTTCAGGTTGAGGTAGAGCAAGGCTTCTTGAACTAGGGACAATTGATCAGCTGTAGATGTTTCTCCAACGATCACGTAAGAATTTGATTAAAATCTGCCCAAAGGTTCTGGAAATATTTTGCTAACAGATAGAGAGGGTTGATGCCTAGATTTAAGCAAAGATCTAGCACATTATGCATAATTTAGAATATCTTTAAGGGATGAGGTTCAACTACTACCACAACAAATTTTAGCTCAATGTCCATAAAATTGACAGATTGACATTTTTGTGTTTCCTCGCATCACTTGGCGGCCATCTTGAGCCGTTAGTTTGTTTGTTTAAATCTGTGTTTGCAATAAAAATGTATAATTTTTTGTATTTAAAAAAAAAAAATCTAGCTTACCAAAGTGGAAAATAAGTCAATTTATCTTGCATATAAATAATAATAATAATAAAATACATATTCTAATGATTTATTACTTTTATGCATGTTTTTATCACTTTCAGCACAGGCATGGCATATTCTTGTATCTTTCCCACAAGTAAAGTATACTGCACCATAAACTCTCCACTACACGTCTTTCTTCTGCTCATAAATATTTATAAAAAGGTGAATAATTTGTAGTCATAGATGCAAAAATCAACAGCCCAACAAAATGTTGCTGATTGATCAGCGCAGCAGGTGTGTGTCGTGAAACTTCAGAGCATGAAGCTGGAGAATCAAGCTTGAAATGTTAAAGTTGTGTGTGAACGTGTACGTGTGGTTGTTGTGCATGCCTCGTGCACATTAGTGTGCGAATAAGTGTGTGCGATAAATTACCACGATACGGGGCGAGCCGTCTGTCAACAAGGCTTGGATACTAAAGATGCAGTTTCTCGTGGCCTAGAACTTTATACCCATAATCACTTGTGGTGATTAATAAATCTGTTTTTCCACAGCAGGTGCTTACTTTATGTGTCTGAAGTCATGTGTATATTTTAATCTAGAACGAGTGCAGGATGAGGAAATATAAACGTTCTTGATTGATGACTGCATTAAAAAAAAAAAAGTGCCAAAACATTTTGTTGAAAAAGTGTTTGCATGAAGACAAAAGCAAAAATATTAGCTTTGCATTGAAGGCGTGTACATAAAGATGTTGAATGTGTTCGTTTTGGTATAAGTATGTTCTGGAAGTGATGTCATGTATTATTTATAAATAACAACAACAACGATAACAACAACAATAATAATAATAATAATCTATATATATCTATAAAAATGTATTTGTACAAAAGGAGACAAGATGGTGAACAAACAGCTGTCCTATTGAACGCCAGCTGTTTTCACTCTTGTTGTTTTGTTGTCAAACCTGTTATGAAGAGTGAGCGATCAT